TAATTGTGAAAATGTCTACATCATAAGTTTTTAGGATTTTCTGGACTTGGATCCTTCCAGCATTCCACTGGAGGATCTGAAGACGTTGTGATTCGCCCAGACGAGGGCGATTTCTCTTATAGCCCTGTTTCAAGCTAATCATAATAAATAGAAGTCAAATCAAATGCCGAGTGTTAGACTTTTTTCCGTGCGAAGATACGTTGTCCAGGGTGCACCACGTGGAGGTAAGTCTATCGCGCACCCCACTTCCAGAAACTAATACATTAAAAAGTTACCTTGCAAGACATTTATTTCGTCGTGTTTTGACTTTTATATTTACCTCCATCTGTTTGGATCACTTGGTTATAATCAAGGAAGCATTTTCTTTTTATTCTCCTTAGCCACTCTGTATTTGAAAAATAGTCTAAAGTACACAATATGACCGAAAAATAGGAAAAGAACTTTTTAACATTACATATCTTCCATTTCAGAAAATGAAGTTCAAAACATGTTCGCAAAGTGATCGTTGTAAATACTCGTTAAATTCAAATATTTTTGAATTTTTGGAAACAATTTGGCATTATCGCATGCGAATGCACTCATTTTTGAGACTTAAATTTTAAACTTATGAATTTGAAAATACATTTTGTTTGCAAGATATATTTATGCCTCCCAATATTTGCTGAAATGCTTGCTGAACAGTAAATGACTGATCGCCTACTCTTATACTTTTTCAATTCAATTAAGCATCCTTTGGGGCGTTTACATTTTGTACATATAATTATCTCTTCACAGTAACCACAATTACCATTCACTAATCTATTTGGATAGCAAAAAGTGCATGATGTATGAAGGTTATTAAATTAATTCAATACTAGTAATTGAAAGCTCCGATATTATTGCATAAATTTAAGTGTCACGCGTACTACAAAATATATTTTGCATAGAATTTTCTAACTGAAACGTACAATTTTTTTGTTTTAATTTCTTATGTGTCTTAAGTTATGGTTCCAACACAATTATCACGTTATTAAAAAAAATATCATTGCCGATAAAACATTGCTTCTATATTATATAGTAAGTGAATTTATTCATTCAAATTTATTGTTAGGAAAATTTTTAAATACTATTGTATGATACTCTGGTACAGCGAAATTTTAGGCGTTTTCACTCTTCATATATTGTGCCTATATCGATGTACTTCTGACCGATAGAGCACTTTAATTACTTCCTTTTCACAAATCAAACAAACTGCATACTATTTTTAATCAGTAGTACATCCAATAATTTACGTTTTTGTTCCATTTTTAATACTTTTAAAATATGTCCCATTGATTACTATTGCGTCAGTATTTAGCGAGATTTTCAAATCGCATTAGAAATCTTGAAACAATTCTTATCTTGGATGAGCAAAGGCCATAATAAAATTAATTAGTTTAAACAACTTAAAAAGGAGATGATAATCCTGGTTATTATTTCTTCAGATAAATTCGAGGAAAGAGGGGCGTCGGAGTGCAAAGAATGGCGTCACAATTATGAAAAGTGAGCAAGATTTATGTGAGAAAATAGCGTACTCAAATTCGTTTGTACTTCATGGGTAGTTATTAATATTAAACGTGGTAAAAAAAATCTACTTATTTGCTTTAGTTATGAGACAGAACATTGGACATTGTGCGTAATCCTGCCAGAGATAAGATGTTGAACTAACAGGAATATAAATAAGCTAAGAACTCTAAAAGTCTCATTTTGTTTGAGCTGTAGAAGCATTCAGTTATGCTCATTCTCATCATGGCTACAATTAACCGGGGTGAGGTGATGTCCGTCAAAATCAGTGCCTGTTGGCCAATCCATTGAACTCAAATATTCGTCACGTTGCTAAAATTCATTTGAGCATCTTGCAGCCATGAGTAAGCGGATGAGATTATTAGGCTTTTTTGAACGTATCCGTTCTCCCAAGAGGTCACTCAATGTGCGACAAAGCTATAAAGAGAACTAATCGATAATCGAATAAACTCAAACAAAGTCCAAAACCCCACTTGATAGCTTAATAAAATTGATTTTCGCTTCATTTAGGCATTGCCAAATACAATTCAGAGCTTATTTTTGCCACTTCAATTTTGAAACACTCGAATTATGGCATCAAGGCTTAAACACCTAAAATTAATGACGCGCCAAATGTTCTGTAAACAACGGACCATAATCGGTTGTAAATGTTCAAAAATCACAAATGCTCAAACTGCTAATTAAAACTATGTATGAGTTAATGTCAATCAAATGAATTTTGTGCCGATATGAGTACATTGGTTACACCTGGGGTGAACAAACCCTGGGACCCTCCAAAGTGACCCTATCATTCAGACTATCATTGCTCGATCACGTGATTAAGTCATATTGAGACGTGACAAACCCTGGGTGTGAGTGGCTTTCCCTTTTAGTCAAGTGTATTTTGCATACCTATCTAGGTAATTGTGATAGACATTAAATGATAATGTGTGACCGGGTAACGATGAAGTCCTTATTTTGGTTCATCTAGTTCCTGACGTTATAGTACTTGCTTCACAATCTGCATGGCTGGTCCTTCATGCCGGTCCCTGAAGGTAAATAATAATCTTACCATTACACCTAGAGACAAGCAGATTTTTTCGATTCCGACCTACCTCCACTTTACTTCTCCCAATCTCCTATTTTATGAAACAAAATATGCGTAACCCACTGAACTATTTGATCATTATACTTGCTATCTTGTTATGCCGCCCCTAAACCTAAAAACTTTGTTGTTATTATACAGACATTTTTTATTAAAACACTTCTACTTGTACCTTATATCTTAGAATTGACTGTGTATTAATGATTTGCCAGAAGCGAATTCGTTTAGTTAGCAGATTTCCACGACCAAATCACATTAATTAATCGATGAGCCTAATTAATACCATACGCTTAGCTTTAGCTTTTTCTCTGATACGAGAATGTTTAAGGGTATTCGACTAAAACGCAAACCATCGGCTCTTTCACTTGAAAGAAAACGATGTTCGCCAAAATGTCGACTATTTCAGCGAACAGAACCACACTTTGTTGAAATTCCTCCAATTGATCAAATTAAAAGAAATGCAATGAAATTAAAAAATTTTTGCAAATCTGATTTGAGGATTGTTGATATTTTGCCCAATTTGAATTCAACATCCACTGCTGGAACTCAGACATGTGTTTCCACTGCATCTGAAGCAATACAAACTGTAAATTCAATTGAAAATTCACTGAATTCGGAAGACACTAAAGGTGATAACAATCTCAAATTAAGGGGTCCAAAAGTCAAGGATCTTGTTCACACACTTGAAGCTGAATTGGGCAATATGCATCTTTTTCCAAAGCTTCGACACAATTCTGATTGCACTGTAAATGAGGAAGTAGAAATCGAACCGAGAGTCACTCGCAAAGGGTACAGTTTGGATGAGGATTTACAAACCGCTACGGAGAAGCTGATAAAGGAGCTGGAACGATTGCATAGTCAGGGTAAATATCCCACTATGGAAAAATCAAGTAATATTGAAGAGGGGTTTGCGGGTGACCAAACCAATAATTGCTGCGTGAAACCAAATCAAGAAAAAGCGTACTATAAGAGATTGCCTAAAAGGGCACATTCAGAGAGATGTGCAACCTTTTACTACTACACAAATAATGATAATTCTACTGGGTCTGAGGAATATGATTGGCTGGAGGAGATACGAAAAGTTGCTAACGATAAAACTTTGACACCTCAGCAACGGGAAAAAGAACTTGATCAAATCGCCGACTTGTTAATTAGACAAAGGAATGGACTATCATAGTGAATTAAAAGTATTACGTATTTCATTTCGTTGTTTTTTGCTAATTTTATATACATTAGGTCTGAAACATCAAAAAGAGTTCTTCAATTAATATGAAAGTTGAATTTAGATTTTATCTATTTTAAAGGATCAGATTAAGTTGTTGTCAGTCTTAAAAAGCGACCCAATTCCCATAGTTAAGTCAATACAAATAAACAATATTATTTATGCCAGTTTCGTATCATTCTTATCCATTTTTTACTTCAAATTTATGGTTAAGGGCAAATTTTATGGTCTTAGTTTTCATTAATAAGATACAGAGCAAGACAAAATGTTCAGGGCTTTTCACTTCAAACTTTCAATTTCATGATTAGTTCTCTGAATTACTGAGCACATTTCATCTGCGATAACCGGGTTTATTCGCAGGTTATTCAATTGTAGTTATCGACCTTATAACTTCAAACACTTTTCTTCCGAAGACGGAGAAACCCGAATGACCATTGCGTGGGACATAGCAGATTCCAATCCAATCGAACTATAATCGGACTACTGTTCTTACCAATAATTAGCGGCTTTGAACTTTAAATATAAATCAATAAATTTCGTTGGAACTCATCAATCCACTCTTTGCTGTTACTTTATGCGAATTTACAAGCATAAGAAACGGAGCCATTCCCTATTTTTATTTCACGGGAAAATGAAATTTTACGAATTCAAATGAGTGGGAATAAAAATTGTTTTGTTTCAAATTAACAGCAAGATATAATTGCTTTTCATTATCCCTAATTGCTATTTCCACACTTCCACGAGTTTATGAAATCATTCCAGAAATTTCAGTAGGTCTGAAAAATTAAAATTCCTTAAAAGGGAATTTCGAAATAATTTTCCTTGAATAAAGTAGGAACCAAAGTTTGGATTTGATAACTCCAAAAATACTTTGCTAAAATTTCTGCCAGTTCGCTGGTGCCTTCTCACATTGTGCCCTTGGGAAGAGTCGATACAACTGAGTGATCTATCGTTAGCTAGCTCATTTCAGAGGAAACTTAAGATTTTCCAGATTTCGTTAATTGGAATTTCATTGTGTCTCCTTTGTCTTGCAGACTCACTTAGCGATTGAGTCTGCTCTTCTGTAATTGTCTGGCGAGGTTTCGCAGAAATGCCTTCTCCGTCACCACGTTGACAACTTGCAAAAGGCAGTTGTAGTACATGGCTCGGCGAGGGTTTCAGACAGTTTGCTTGAGTTTTAATAGAAATTGCTTTCCATCTTAGATCTGGTCAGAGCATCACCAGATACCGTTTGGATTCCATGCTGTTCAATCCTAAAATAACATTACGTAGGTCTTTATCATTCACGAGAGACTCAAGGTACTATATGAACTCACCTGATCAAACCTATTGTCAACTAAATAAAGATATGACTCTTCCAGATCTTAAAAAGCATTCATTCAGACTGCTTTTCAAATGCCATTTCAGATATTAATTTTTTACTCTGTGGACGTTTTAAACGTGTCCTAACGACTTTGAGGTGAGACATCAATAGCCCCATGGTCTGAATGCTCTACTCAGATTCTGTAGATCTCCAATTCCTCCCAAGCTATATAGACAACCAATAATATCATCAGGAATACAATGCTAGCACCCTCTTTATTTTCTATTATTGGTGCCCCTCTTCGAAGAACATGCTCCAATTGAGTATTTTATTGAGCCTTTTGGACATCTACAAGTTGATTGTTGCAGTTGCTAATATTTAAAGGTAACTTTAGTTCACGAAATCATGATAAAATCAAAGGGATGAACCATAGATCAAAGGCCTTCCTTGTGTCAATAAAGATATTTATTTTTTTTTCTAATTCCGATCAATGACTTCCGGAATCACTCTTCTCACAGCAATGATCATCTGTTCAATGAATATTCCAGTAGGACATCCATATTGTGTATTTGGTTAACATTCACTTACGCGTTACTTCAACCGCTTCAAGATGTTTCCTCACTCTTCGTCGAGAAGAAAAAATACTTCAGCCCTTACCAAGGCTAGTTCTCACTGCCTCACCTTGTGAATGTCAATTCCCTCAAAAAGTTCACCCTTTTCTGATCCTTCAACATTTCACATCATGATGTTTGTAAAATGTTTCAATATCGGCTGTTGTGCCAACTTCTACTACATCATCATATTCCAAGTCCACACTTCCCAGAATCGTCTTTTCAAATATTTCGTGGTGTTGGTATTTATGCCGTGATATTAGCTAAGTTCTTGCCTGCGTTATGATTACGTAAATTTTCGGTTCAATTTTAGTCTTGCAATTTGATGGGACAGGGCAATGATCAGAGTCTACATCCCCTTCACTGAATACGTATATATCAAGAAATGTGACTCGGCCTTGCCTTGAAGCAAGATAGAATTCAAGGGCTTGTTCCCAGGTGATGCCACATCTTTTTAGAAAACAATAATTGATGGCATAAAGATTATTTCTTTAAATACAGTTTAATGCACGCATCCAACTTCCCAGTATCCCCTCTGAATCTTGACAATTTTCTGTTGCATTCATTTGAATATCATAGCCGTGTTGGCATTTAAAGCTCTCAAAATTATTATACTTCTTCTTGATGTCAATCAATACAGTGTCCATTTGCCAATAAAAACTTTCTTTCTCCAGAAGATTTAGAGTCAACCTTCTTGGCACATCAAATGTTATTACTAAAATAATCTTTATTCTTTTTGACTTGTTTGAAACTGAATCGAATCCTTGGTCTGGAAATAGTGAATTAATTAGAAGAAATGTCGTGCTACCTATCCAGAATAACAAATATTAAAACCAGAAATTACTTCTGACATGATATTTCAACAGTTTTTTGCTTTTGCTAGAACTTCTAGGCTCTACATATTCCAGGCTCAAGACTTTAGAATCTTTGGGATCGTGCTAGCTTACAGCACTAGATTCTAAAATTTTCTCTTAAACAGCGGTGTTCGGGAAATGTTCTAAATTGAGTGTCCCGTTCATTTATTTTTTCCCTTGCTGAAATAACCATTGAATTGAGTTATTTCAAATGGAAGTACCAAACGAAGACCGTTAGAATGCTTGAACACCTAAAGTTTGAGCTTACCATATGGCCAGGTTATTTCAAAATGGTAAATGGGGCTATAGGGAAGGTACTTGAATGATGTAACATTCCTTCACCTTCTAGCTTAATCACTAAATATATGCTTATTCTCATTTGAGTACGGTAACTTAGTAACTCCACTTTACGAAATAAATTTGTGGTGATTTTATTCCCTATGCACATTATTGGTTATCGTTATATTTTTATTTGTACCCTTCATATATTTGTGTGTGCGAGTCATCCACAGGCTTTAATTAGTTTTTCGAATTTCCCCACTTTCCAAAATCACTGCTATGGGTTTTACTTAACTTTCTGTTTGTTTTCAGTTGCAAGGTCGTTACATCCTCTATTCCTCTCCCCCAATATCAGTTAATTTTCATTGAAATTAAAATTATCTGACCATCCAACATATGAAATTCCTATTAACAAAGTTAAAAATTAAGTTCTAACTAAACATGTTGCGGTTTAGCTACCTCAATAACCTTGACTATTCTCAGAAATCTCTGTAACAATTTCTTCCCACACGAAAGTCCCTGTGAATTAACACGGAATACGTCTATTCGATACATATATTAATAGCGAAGTGTGTGTTTGGCAAAGCGATTAGTTATCAGATAACTCTGGCATGATTCGTGTGAACA